TCTTTCATAACACCATCACAATGGCCTAAACATGGGATCATTGGTCATCTAGTGAATGCTTAATCTCCAGTCCATTGAGCAGCCATCAAATAGTGTATATGCCTGACTTCAATCAATTCAACATATTGCACAATCATCTTCCATTGTTTAGGGTGAATGGGCGTCAGACATTTAACATAGTTCAGCTCCATTGGACAAAGCTTCTCGCCAGAACTTCAAGAATTGAAGCTACTCACTAGTGACCGCATAAAATTTGTTATGTCCATTATTGGATACCGTTTCAATGGTGCAAAGGTCAAGTGTTCACTGCAAAACCAACAGTCCTTGGTTTCGACAGACTATAATGAGATCAGCGATGTACATTTTGCCCTGGACTTCTCTTGGGGATATAAGATCCCCAGAACTCACGTTAACGCTTAACGACCGTACAGCATCGATCTTTATTACTGAATCTACATTTTGAATAGATTATTTTCATATTCCTATTTAATTACAAGCTATTAATGAACTATTGTACATTAGTTAGGCATGGAATCCTACACATACTTTTCATCTTCTCTGAGACTCATCAGCTGACTGAATCTGTAAATTAGTGTTGATGTATACAAGATGATACCTGAACCTGGTGATGAGTAAGTTAAGAACCATCTTCCCTTCATAGATGACTCCATGGATAACTTGTTGGGATTTAAACCAAAAGATACTAGGTTACACAGTCCTAGTGTGAACAACAACGTTGAAATATGACAGGAACACTGACGAGTTCTAAATTGGACGAAACATGGCTTCTTCATTCCACTACCAGTCACATATACACTAAATATCCTAATGACTATCTTTCTATCTTTTATATAATTAAAATTTTGATTTTTACTTAAAAAAAATCATAAATGTATTTTTTTTCTCTTACGCAAGAATAAATTTTTCATAATCATCAAAAACTAGATGAACAATAATTATTTACTTTGTCTTTTCAAGTTACACCAACACCAACACCACCACCAATGATGATTCTTCTTACACAATATTAATGTCATATAAGAGAGTGTTTTGAGTTGAACATTGAACAATAGAATGAATGATAAACTAACTAACTTTCAGGGCATTGAATAAACGGGAAAAAAAAAGATTTTAATTAAAAAAAGTATATTTATTTTTTTAAAAGAAAAAAAACATGACCATCATTCTGTTAGACTTTCATGATCTAATCCATTCAACTCTGCCCCCCAACCCCCACCCACGCACCTCCCACTATTTCGCTTATGCGATGTTATTCACATATATATTAAAGGAGAAACGGTGGGGGGTAGACGGGGTAGAGGAATAGGGACAGGTAATATATATACATATATATAGAGAGAGTCAAACAGAAAAGGGCATGTCATGCAACCACACGTGTTCGCCTAGTTCACTTCGTCCTGACAATCATAATGGTGCTTGTCATAATAATAATAATAATCATATCTTATGATTACGTAATTGAAGTGAATTGCATGTCTAAAACTATTATTATTAATACTATTTTTCTCTACTTTGATCAGTTTATTTTGAACTGCTGCGAAAAGGCGAAGAAAATGACCTTGTAAATAGAGAGATAGATAGATAGACAGACAGATAGAAGAAAAACATCCGTTAAAATAATTCAGTCAAGTAGAGTTGATTTGATTTGTAATCATGACCGAGGAATAATTCAAAGATGGTTGACTGACTGATGGATTGATTGATCCATAGGATAAAATGAAATGAAGCGAATGGATTAACTAAGCAGAAAAAAAATATTAATTTCTAATTCCTGTCAAATGGATTTAGCGAGAGAATGTGAAAAAAAGAATATATATATATTTTTTGTGATGATCACACGTGATCATCAGTATATAAAGTTTTGTGGTGATGGGGGGAGGGGGTTTAATTCATGAAGGGATCTTAACTAGACTATGAGTAAAAAACTTAGGAAGTTGATATGCCCCGTCAGTTTGATAGGCTTGAAACTGGTGCGAGTCGATAAACGAGAGCGAAGACAAATGATCCAGTGACACGATCGGCTACTCTAATCCGAGAGTCACAAGGCCGCACTAAGTAGAGGGAGAAGTGTTGACGAGACGTAGAAAGTGTGTTCCACAAGCAACCAGAAAATAAGAGGTCCGCAAGCACACAAATCGAGTTTATTTATACGTGATAGAAACGTCCTTGTGAGAGCCACAAAAATAGCGCACTAAAATAACACAGCCACCAATGACATTCAATGATTTTCTGGGTGGACAAAGTAATCTCAGGGTCAAGTGATCAGCCTATGCCCTAAAGCATAAAATCCAAAATTAGGACCTTTTCCAAGTGAGTTTGGGGGATCTAACGTTTCCAAATATGTACATCGCTGATCTCATCATAGTGTATTGAAACCTAGGACTGTTGGTGTTGCAGTGAACACTTGACCTCTGCATAATTGAACCAGTATCCAATAATGAACATAACAAATTTCATGCGGTCACTAGTCAGTAGCTTCAATTTTTGAAGTTTTGGCGAGAAGCTTTGTCCAGTGGACATGAATGTCCGGCGTCCATTCACCCTCAGCAATGGAAGATGATTGTGCAATATCGTAAATTGTTTGAAGTTAGACAGGTACTCTATCTGATAGCTGCTCAATGGTCTAGAGATTAAGCATTCTCCAAATGACCAATGATCCCATATTTAGGCCACTTTGATAATATTATGAAAGAAGGCGGTAAGATTAGATGTAAAGAGGACAAAGTTTACTAGCAAAATGTGTACATCTTATTTTCAAACGGTCATTTTCAAAACAGATGGTAAATCAGCTGTCTTCTTCCACATGTTCTCTAATCTTCAGAACACTCTGATCGCATCATATATCCATAACTGACGTATTTCGCTTCAGTAGTAAATTCTGGGCGATACTCTACCTTAAATCTACTGCGCGCTACTTATAAGCCAAGTTTTGAGTAGAATACACCACAGGCGGTCATCGATGAGCATTACTGAGGAATTCAAAAGTAAGATGAAACAACTGTCCAATGTTTCCTGATTTGCAGTAAAAATCTATCTAAAACTAATTCATGATTTAAACTGTGAAATTCACATGTTAGTTGATTGGCTTTTTCATTTCAGAAGAACTATATCACATAAATCGATTTGTGTTAGATCACTATTAGAAATCTAGATGTATTGGATGTCAATCAAGTCCTAGAATGGGGGACCCATCAACAATACACATCCCCGACTTCCATTACTCACAAAAACCAAATCCAGGACCTTTGTGGTGGCCAATTTCTATGTGTTCTTAATCTTCGTTACTAAATGGCGTCTGACGGTTAATAAATCAGAAGGTAAGCTCGAAGCCTTGAATACATTTATTTTGGCACACCACAAATAGGGATAGCAGACCACAAGCAGACCGGGCAGGCACACTAGCGAGTGAATGTGCGAGTGAATTAATAAGATTAAAATGTTCGTATATAAAGAAAGGATAATGTCTGAGTCATCGTGATATTTAAGAGATTAACATTAAAGCGAATAGGATGCATATGCATGTAGGCGGTAAGCAATGCTCAGCCATACCAGCTCATACAAACCACACAATAATAAAAGCCAATGGTACATATAAGTTATTGTTGTACAAATGGCTTGGTTAAATAAATTAGTCGAAAAGTGTGACCAAATTAAATGTAAGTGAACTCTAATATACGTGGAGGCACTACACCTTAACTTTTGCGCGCGAACGTCTAACTTCTGGAGTCGTGGATGCTCACTGTTGATGAGTCCTACACAAGGACAAAGTGGTCGTCCAGTGCTTCCAGTATTCGATCGATTCATGATTTCAAAAGTAACTCAACGATCTCCACAACCCTTTAATGCAAAGTATTTATAATCATTGATATATAATGATTACTTTTGTAAAAGGAAAAATACAGAATTCCAGTGATGATGTAACTCAAATATGTAAACTATTCATCTTTATATAGTCTTCACTTTGCTTTATTAAATAATTGTGTAAACTTAAACATTGTACAACAGACTTCATTAAATCAACATACATTTAGTCCATACCAAACCAATTAAACTATTTTGCAGCTTCAAAAGTTTCACTCAACACTGTTAGAAAAATCATCAGAATTTTTTTTCTAAATAATATTTCACTGATTTTATTTATTAAATAATGCCAAAGGTCCCGGGTTCGAATCCTGCGAGGAGCAGGAGTCGTGGATGCGCAGTGCCACTGATGAGTCTCATACTAGGACGAAACGGCCGTCCAGTGCATCTTCCAGGTTTCTAATGGTGGTCTAACTAGGATTGATTGATGGTTTCAAATGTGTAAAAACACAAACCTCCAAAACTCTGCCCCAAAATATCGTAACAGTGCTCACTAGTGATTAGCTTCGTGAGAAAATTCTCGGAGTTCTAGTTGAGAAGACGTGACCAATGGAGTTCAACCCTGTCAGGTGTAGGCAGTAACTACCAAAAACAAATGAGTGAGGTCGCGCAAAATCCCTAGATCAATCAGAGTTAGACATTAACACCGTTGGATGCCGGCCCAGTGATCCGATGGTTAGGCGTTCGCCTACAATGCCAAAGGTCCCGGGTTCGAATCCTGTGAGGTGCAGGAGTCGTGGATGCGTACTGCCACTGATGAGTTCCATACCAGGACGAAACGGCCGTCCAGTGCTTCTTCCAGGTTTCTAATGGTGGTGGTCTAAACATTGAACCCCATTGAACTCTACACAATAAGTGTTTTAATATTTACACAGAAAAATTCATTTGTTCATCGCATACTCAAACTCATTTCATTAGAAAAATAATAATAATTATTATTATTAAAGTCAGAATTATGGACACGATGTAATGGTAACAGTTACTTCTATTACTGTTGTTTAAAAAAAAATTGAACGTTGATCAATTTTGTTTAAATGAATGACGATCATTTTCGGTAGCTTTGGAAAAATATTCAAATATATATTACTGTTTCCATTGTTATGTGAATTCTTGTTGAATTATGAATTGATTTGAGAATGTGGAGATTTGTTTAATAAATCAATGAGGGATATGATGTAATCACGTGCACGCTGGAAAAAAAAAACGAAAAAAACATATTTGTTGAGGTGTTTATAGTGATTTTCCCATTGGGTAGGTCATATTTATCATTCATTGATCTCAGTTGAGATGTCAATAAAAACCATTCCAAATGGGAAGTCACAGTCTTGGACAAAAACGCTGTCCAATGCTCGATAGCTTTCAGTGGCATTCCAATTGAGATCAGTTTGTCACTAGATAACTAGTCAGTTGAATTCTTATTTCTGATAGATAAATATAACATTACGGGGTTTTGAAGATTGTTAAGTTACACATTTTTGAAACCATGAATCGATCAATGTTAGACCACCATTAGAAACCTGGAATCACTGAAAGACGGCCATTTCGTCCTGATATGGGACTCATCAGTGGCAGTCTATATCCACGACTCCTGTACCCCGCAGGATTCGAACCAGATACCTTCGGTGTTGTGCACGAACGCCTAACCGTTAGACCACTGAGCCGGTATCTAACGGTGTTAGTGACTAACTTCAACCAATTCACGGAGTTGCGCGACCTCATACACAGTCTTCGGTAGACACTGCCTACACCCGTGAATTTGATCAAGTTAGACATTAACACCGCTGGATGCCGGCTCAGTGGCCTAACGGTTGAGGCGTTCGCGCACAATACCAAAGGTCCTGGATTCGAATCCTGCTGGGTGCAGGAGTCGTGGATGCGCACTGCTGATGAGTCCCATACCAGGACTTGACGGCTGTCCAGTAGTTCCAGGTTTCTAATTGTGATCTAACATTGATCAATTCATGGTTTCAAAAATGTGTAAGATAAATATAAGTTTACTTTTAAAAAAAAGACAATAATTTAGGAAGAAAGAGGCATCACCAAACTGAATCAAGACTACAATTTAAATGGTATCCCATTTTAAGAGAATTCAACTTACCCATAAGCAATGTAGTATACAATTCATTTATTTCTGAGTGATGACCTATGTCGTTTTTATCGATTCCAATAGTAATGATCGAATTCTACCGTTCAAGATGCAAACAAGCCAACTAGCGTAAGTTGTATCTCAGACTGTTCAGATGGATGCCTATGACTCGAATGTCACAGTGAGCTTCAGTCTCTTTTAAATTGTTTGTTGACCTGGCTGACAAGTGTTAAGTAGCAATAGCCACATAGTTTAAACAACACAGGTTCAAGCCCAGTTAGGCGTATGGGTGTGTATTCTTGAATTCTATATCAGGACAACAACTGTTGTTCAGTAATCCCTAGTTTTTAATAGTTGTTTAGATATAGTCAACCGATAAAGTATACTGTTTTTAATGAAAATTATTTTTAAAATCTCATTCTAAAAATACAAATTTTTCCTGTTACAAATACTATTCCATTAACCATTTATTCTAGAACCTTCAGTTAATAAGAAAGTTAAACAGGCATCTTTAATGAATTTGTTTATGTTTTATTATGAAAATGAACTTGAATTTCTTCAACTGGTCCCTCCTCCACCCCCTCAGAAGTTCTTGATCATTTAAGTTGTATATTAAATAAGATCTCTACCTAATCAATGTTCAAACTGTGTGAAAAGTAGGGAAATGAAATGCTAGCAAATTTATCAAATATTAACGACCTATCATCAGTAGTACTAATCTTCATCTTTGATTGAATTAAGCATATTAGTTACCAATGTGTAAATCTCATTCATGATATAAAGCTAGGACTATCTTCAACCTTTTATACTGATGAGAATCTTGAGTTTGCAAAATTCACTGTACTTTCTGATTATCAGTTCTTTATTCTTAAATGATTTCTAAAGTACTATTGTGGCGTATGCTACTCACAGCATGGATTATAAGCCATATTCAGTGAAATATCACCCACTAGTTACTGCTGAAATGCGGAGTACAGGATCTGGATGTATGTCACGATCAGTGAGTTTTGAAGACTAAAGGACATGTCAACGAAGACAGCCAATAATCTGCCTGTTCCACAAATGGCTGTTTTTGAAGATAACAGATGTAAACATTTTGGCTAGTAAATTGTGTCTTCTCCAAATATATCACTTATCCCTTATTCGTTCATCACATTTGGTGCTGCAGTCAATTGATCGCGGTATGTAGGATATCGATCAGCTATCTCTGACTCTAATGAAACAGTTGAAATGTACGACAATGAAAAGCTGTTAGGCTTATTTTAACCAATTCAAAATGAACCAATTAAAGACGATTATCAGAAAGAAATCAATGAAGTATAAATCGAAAAAACTGATTTATCCTCATTTGTAAAATTAAGTATATCAGGACCGAAGGTCCTGGGTTCGAATCCTGCGACATGCAATAGTCATGGATACGCACTGCCACTGATGAGTCCCACATCAGGACTTGACGGCTGTCCAGTGCTTCCAGGTTTCTAATGGTAGTCTAACATTGATTTTAAATATCTATCTATCTATCTACGGTTTTTAAAAAAATCATTCTCTACTTACCCGTAATATTTGAATTTTACTAAGTTTCATTGAATCACAAGGGGAATTCGGTAAAACAATTCTTAATTGTTCTAATGCATTATTCAATGTATGCATTCGAGCACGTTCACGTTGATTGGCTTTTAATCTTTTTACTAGATTTATTGAATATTGACAATTTTGTGAAATATTATAATCTTCTATTGATTTGTAAAACATGATTGAACTCCAGCTACAAGCATAAAAAATTGATCATTCAATGTTCCAATGAAAATGATGATGAATGATTACTGAAAAAAAGTAATGATTATTGAAATGAAATGATTGTGAAGATTGTTTTTTTTTTTCACAGATTACTCATTTTGTAGTGAAGGAGAACACAGGTGAAGGGAACCGAATTGTATTTAACCAAAATTACAGAGTTACTCAGTAAAATCGGAAAACCATATCGTAAATCGTTAATTTGCAAAATATCAATTCATCATATCGAACTGGACTGTTCCTGTTGCAAAACATCAATCCATTGTCACTATTCATGCGTTTCATACAAATTCCATTGTGTTCTAACTCTACCTTTCTTGATCTTCCCCCATCTTCTGATGCCAGACATTACGTCTTCACTGGCGTCATATACTACTTACAAGTAGCGCGCACCAAAATATCACTAATTGGTATTTTAATCACGTGATTATTGGGATCCAGTGATTATCGATCGTGAAGAAGTATAAACAAGGTCGAAACAGCTGGTTTTACATTTTAATTTATCTGGCATTATGCGAGACCATAAGTTCTAGGTTCGATTCCCCCTTCCCGAGCTTGTGGATGCGCACTGCTTATGAGTTCCAAAAGTTCGTCTAGTGCTTTCAGGTTTCTAATGTTAGTCTAACACTGGTTGACTCATGATTTTAGTGGATATTTTAATCGATTTCAATATCTTCAGAAAACAGAGATTTTTCTTCAAACTCGACAGATTTCAGTACATCGTTAAAAAGAGTAAACTAACCATATTTGAATAAGTCTGTGTGTAAATGTTTACAAAAAAAACAGTTTATTCTACAAAACTCGCGCTTGTTATAGATTATGAATTGAAACTATTAAAACACTTCAATTGTGGTGTGGTGCGCGCTACTTATAAGTAGTATATGACTCGAGTGTAAACGTAATGTTTGGCAGCAGAAGATGAGGGAAGATCAAGAAAAGAAGAGTGGGAACACAATGGAATTTGTATGAAACGCATGAATAGTGAAATGTCAGACAATGGATTGATGATGGATTGAAGGTTTGCAAATTAACCGTTTACGATATGGTTTTCCTATTTTACTGAGTAGCTCTGTAATTTGCGATAAATACAATCTGGTTGCCCTCACCTGTGTTCTCCTTCACTGCAGTGGTACATTTTAAAATTGAAACATAATTCTGTGTAACATTTGAATGTTGAGTAAACTTGGTTAAATGAAATCTTAATTATTACTTTAATTATTGAATTAAAAGAGTAATTGACATGAATAAACTATGTTTCATTGGTTACTTATCATCAGATTGAAGAATGTTGGTTGGCGGTCTATAATTCCGTTAGAGTTAACAGGTCTGAGTATCATTCACCTGGAGGTTGTATTCTTTAAAGGATTGATTTCATTCAAGAACGACCTTGACAGGTGAGTTTTTTTTAGAAAAAAAAACTAATCCTGATTTGTGAATCACCTCAACAGTAAACAACGCAAGATCGTCATAACACACACCCCGCCGAATGGCTCATTATTAAAATCGATAATTTAAGAAAAAACTCTGTATTGTATACAATTTGATGTGAACTTGTTGAATCTATGAATATATATGTATTTATATATTTAAATTTTGATATTTGAAAAGGAAAAATCCTTCTATAAACACTTGAACACATTGAACATCCTACTTATTATTATTGAATTCAAAACAAATTTTTCGTTTTATTATTATTATTACTATTGTGGTGCGAGCTACTTATAAGTAGTATATGACGTGAGTAAAAACGTAATGTCTGGCAGCAGAAGATGGGGGAAGAGATCAAGAAAGGAAGAGTGGGAACACAATGGAATTTGTATGAAATGCATGAATAGTGAAATGTCAAACAATGAATTGATGTTTGCAATAGGAACAGTCCATTTCGATGTGATGGATCGATATTTTACAAATTAACGATTTACGATATGGCTTTTCTATTTTACCAATTAACTCTGTAATTTTCGTGAAATACAATTCGGTTGCCCTCACCTGTGTTCTCCTTCACTACACTATTATTATTATTATTATTATTATTATTATTATTATTATTATTATTATTCAAGTATAACTTACGTCGTTTAAATTATAGTCCAAAATTTTGAGAAGTTAGTATTTTGATTAAAACCAGAGGTGATATATATATATATATATATATATATATATATATATATATATATATATATATATATTTGGATGAGTATTTACAAGAAATATTTACTACTCGTTCTGTTCCCCCTCTTCCCCCCTCTCTGTCTCATCATTTTTAGAAATCAATAATCTTTCTATTTGATTGGATGAGTTCTATTCAAGTCTCACTCTCTCTCTCTCTCTCTCGTTTAGTTTATGATGATGCTGCGATGAATTTTTTTTCTTAAACCAGATGATTAAAGTGATCATTTTGTTAGTTTGTTTTAAAAAAACATGTGCGCTCATTTGTGTGTGATTCATTTGAACAAGTTGTAGAATTGTGAATCTGAAGAAGCATGAACAGTAGTGGAGTTCAAACATGTGTCAAGGGTGAGGTAGTTGGCACTCACTGTTATGGGATTGGATGATAATTGCGCATGATCGTAAATTTTCCCACAGCTACAAAGATAGTCAATTCGGCGTTGTCTTACTATTTAAATACTTAAATATTAATTGTAAGATTCTAAGAGAGCACTAATAATGAGACCTGGTACATATTTGAAATCATCAGTCAATCATTGTTAGACCGCCATTAGGAACCAGGAAGCACTGGACGGCCGTCAAGTCCTAGTATGGGACTCATCAGCAGTGAGCATCCACGACTCCTGCACCTCGTAGGATTCAAACCCAGGACCTTCGGTGTTGCAAGCTACCATCGAATTTATGGACCAATGGTCCAGTATCCAACGGCGTCAATGTCTAACTCTCATGGATTTAGGGATTTTGCTCGACCTCACCCATTTGCCTTTGGTAGTAACTGCCTACATCCGATAGGGTTGAACTCCAGTGGTCATGTCTTCGCACTAGAACTCCAAGAATTTCCTCACAAAGCTAGCAAGCACATTTTACGATATTTTCAATTAGAGTTATGGAGATTATTGATGATTTCAAATGTGTAAAACCAATAATCTCCATAGCTCTAAGCAAAAAAACATCCTGGTCCAAAATGTATATTCATCACTTCCTGACTTTCAAACTGTTGGGGACGTTAGATCTCCAGGACTCGCTTGGTAAATGTCTTAATATTGGATTCTATTCATGAGCTGACCAGTTCACTATGAGATCACATTTCCCACCCGGAAAATCCTTGGCTATGATTGGTTACTGTGTTGTTTTAGTGTGCTATTTTTGTGACTTCTCCAAAGACGTTTCTATGATGTATAAATAAACGAGAGTTGTATGCTTGATTGTACTGTGATTGCTGGGTGTTTGTAGAATATACTTTCTACGCTTACCAAGTCTTCTTACTTTAGTTTGGGATTCAAGGTAGCCTATTTGGACGCTGGTAAAAGTCTCGTTCGCGTTTATCGATGAAGGTGAACCCGTAATAGCCTCAAGCATACTAAGAGACCAGCGTAACAAGAAAGGAGTTAATGAAATTTCTTCATAAATGACTAACAGTTTATTTTGTCAATCTGAAATTTCACCAGTCAACAATTATCCCTATCAATGTCTACTTATCGATTTCGATTGTCAATCATTTTCACTGAATTCTTGGCTTTAGAATCAGTCATGGTTTTTTTTCCGAATTTCATTGAAACATAAAAAGTATTTCAACATCCTTATTAAATGCCTAATGATCTAGGCGCAAATCTTTAAAAAAGAAACTCTTTGGTCTATTTTGTAATGTTAGGAATGAAGTTGTTCGAGATTATTCAGTGTCATTGAGATCATAAACCAATCTAATTTAGATAACCATTGAGAAATTAGCAGCATCCTTTATCTAATTTGTTTTTAGTCTTAAGTAATGTGAGTACACCACCCAATAACTGGTGGAATCCTAACACAAGACTGATTTTATGCGTGAACGTTCTCTTACTCTATGTGTGTTGCTATATAACCAACGATATATTGTAACGTTTGCGAGCCCACTGGAATTCACCAAGATATGAACATGAAAACGGTAAGTCACTTTATCCATTTTAACATATCTCACATGAAAATCAATTTGTTTCTTAAACAACATTTGGATTTTCTTCGTTTGTATCGAATTGATCAAGGTGATTATATTGGATCGTCAGAGAAACCTATCTCTAATTGTGTTGTGAGCTACTTATAAGTAGTATATGACGTGAGTGTCAACGTAATGTCTGGCAGCAGAAGATGGGGGAAGATCAAGAAAGGAAGAGTTAGAAAACAATGGAATTTGTATGAAACGCATGAATAGTGACAATGGATTGATGTTTTGCAACAGGAACAGTCCAGTTCGATATGACGAACTGATATTTTGCAAATTTACGATTTACGATATGGTTTACCGATTTTACTGAGTTACTTTGTAATTTTCGTTAAATACTATCCGGTTGCCCCACCTGTGTTCTCGTTCACTACATAATGACCCTAATAATTTGATTATGATTTCCTAACTATGCCTAAGTTTAACGTTTGCGAGTTCATACATTTAGATTTTATGCTTGATGATGAGTTTAAAAATCATTTGTTGATGAATAAATAAAAGTCAGTAGTCAATCTTCTACAAACAAGTCGTAACCAATGAAGTTCAACCTGTCCGGGTTTAGACAATGTATGAGGTTGCGCAACTCCGTGAATTGATGGGAGTTAGACATTAACACCTTTAGATATCGACTCAGTAGTCCAGATGTTAAGCGTTCGCTAGCAGGACCCAGGGTCCTGGGTTCGAACCCTGTGAGATGCAGGAATCGTGGATGCGCACTGTTGATGAGTCCCAAACCAGGACTTGACGGTCTTCCAGGGCTTCCAGGTTTCTAATGGCAGTCCATCTTTGATCGATTCATGATTTCAAACTCTAC